TTAAATCACCCGGGGATAACTAGGAAATATGTGGGAGAGGAGGGAAGTGCATATGCCAGTAGGTAGGGATGGGAGATGCACACAGTGGGATGCATAGAGACCCCTGCCCTCTCACCTGTGGAGCCCTGCCAGAGGAGGGTACCCACTAAGATGATTGGAGGACTGGCTCTAGCCCTGAGTTTGTGACTCCTGTTCATGAGGATTAGAACATAAGAATGGCCGTACTGGGTCAGACCAAAGGTCCATCAAGCCCAGTATTCTGTCTGCCAACAGTGGCCACCACCAGGTGCCCCGGAGAGGGTGGACCGAAGACAATGATCAAGTGATTAGTCTCCTGCCATCCCTCTCCAGCCTCTGACAAACAGAGGCCAAGGACACCATTTTATCCCCTGGCTAATAGCCTTTTATGGACCTAACCTCCATGAAATTATCTAGCTTCTCTATAAACTCTATTATAGTCCTAGCCTTCACAGCCTCCTTTGGCAAGGAGTTCACAGGTTGACTATACGCTGTGTGAAGAAGAACTTTCTTTTATTAGTTTTAAACCTGCTCCCCATTAATTTCATTTGGTGTCCTCTAGTTCTTCTATTTAGGGAACTAATAAATAACTTTTCTTTATCGGCCCTCTCCACACCACTCATGATTTTATATACCTCTATCATATCCCCCCTCAGTCTCCTCTTTTCTAAACTGAAAAGTCCCAGTCGCTTTAACCTCTTCTCATATGGGACCCGTTCCAACCCCTAATCATTTTAGTTGCCCTTTTCTGAACCCTATCCAAGGCCAAAATATCTTTTTTGAGGTGAGGAGATCATATCTGTACACAGTATTCAAGATGTGGGCCTATCATAGTTTTATACAAGGGCAGTAAGATATTCTGGGTCTTATTTTATATCCCTTTCTTAATAATTCCTAGCATCCTATTTGCCTTTTTGACCACCACTGCACACTGTGTGGAAGTTTTCAGAGAACTGTCCACGATAACTCCAAGATCTCTTTCCTGATTTGTCGTAGCCAAATTAGCCCCCATCATACTGTACGTATAGTTGGGGTTATTTTTCCCGATGTGCATTACTTTACACTTATCCATATTAAATTTCATTTGCCATTTTGTTGCCCAATCACTCAAGTCTGGTGAGATCTTCTTGGAGTCCCTCACAGTCTGCTTCTGTCTTGACTATCCTAAATAGCTTGGTATCATCTGCAAACTTTACTACCTCAGGGTATGTCTACACTACCACCCTAGTTCGAACTAGGGTGGTAATGTAGGCAACCGGAGTTGCAAATGAAGCCCGGGATTTGAATTTCCCGGGTTTTATTTGCATATAGCCGGGCTCCGCCATTTTTAAATGTCCGCTAGTGCAGACTCCGTGCCGCGCGGCTACACGCGGCACGGCTAGGTAGTTCGGACTAGGCTTCCTATTCCGAACTACCGTTACTCCTCACGATAGTCCAGCCTAGTCAGCCTAGTCCGAACTACCTAGTCCATTTTGACTTTTGTCCAACAAATTATGTTCTTCTACATGCCTCACAATTTTATTCTTTACTATTGTTTCGACTAATTTGCCCGGTACTGAAGTTAGACTTACCAGTCTGTAGTTGCCCGGATCGCCTCTAGAGCCCTTTTTAAATATTGGTGTCACGTTGGCTACTTTCCAGTCATTAGGTACGGAAGCCGATTTAAGGGATAGGTTACAAACCACAGATAATAGTTCAGCAATTTCCTATTTGAGTTCTTTTGGAACCCTTGGATGAATGCCATCTGGTCCCGGAGATTTGTGAACATTAAGTTTTTCTATTTTTTCCAAAACCTCCTCTAATGACACTTCTATCCGGGACAGTTCCTCAGATTCATCACCCACAAAGGACGGTGCAGATTTGGGAATCTCCCCAACGTCCTCAGCCATGAAGACTGAAGCAAAGAAATCATTTAGTTTCTCCGCAATGGCTTTATCGTCCTTGATTGCTCCTTTTCTAGTTTGATCATCTAGGGGACCCACAGGTTTTTTAGCAGGCGTCCTGCTTCTAATGTACTTAAAAAACATTTTCTTATTTCTTTTTGAGTTTTTGGCTAGCTGTTCTTCAAAATCTTTTTTTTTTTTTGCTTTTCTTATTACATTTTTACACTTGATTTGACAGTGTTTATGTTCCTTTCTATTTATTTCACTAGGATTGGACTGCCACTTCTTAAAAGATACCTTTTTGTCCCTCACTGCTTCTTTTATTATGTTGGTAGTGTTTGTTCAGGGTAAGAGGAATAGATTAAAAAGGGAGAATAAAAGGGTTGTTCCTTCCTCTAGCCAAGAGATTAGCAAGATATGACCTGAGGGCTAGATCTGGCTCGCTAAACTCAATCCAGCCTGCAGGCTGCCCAATCTGGCCCCCAAGCTACCCTACTAGGACCTTCAAGCACAGAGCAACCAGCTGCTTCAGAGCAGCCCCACACTGCTTTAAGTGGTTTGCTGCTCCCTATGAGTGTCTGCTCCGGGTGTTGGGAAGAAGGGGAGGCTTCCTGCACTACCATGGCCCCTCAGCAAAATCTCTCAGCTCTGAAACCAGCCAGTGGGAGCTTGGAAACCAGCCAATGGGAGCTGAGAGATTTTGCTGGGGGCGGGGACAGCACAGGAAGCCTGAAGCAGAGATTCCCAGGGAGAAGCCTAGGTCAGCATCTCCTAGCCAGAGCCCACCTCGGCACCTCAGCCCCTCCCTAATTCCCTGCCCCAGGTCACCACCCCCTTCTGCCTCTGGTAACCACCCATACCCTTTGAACTCCCTATCCTCCTCCTCCAGTTCATAACTCCCTCCCAGACTCTGCACCCTCTGCTACACCCCTTCCCTAGGCCAGAATCCTCTCTTGCACCCACCCATACATCTTCCAGGATCCTGCACCCCAATCTCGTGTCCCAGCTCGCAACCCCCTCCTTCACCCAGACACCCTCACAGACCCCACTCTCTCTCCTGAACCCCAGTCCCCTATCCCAAGCTCCGTTCTGCACCCAACCTACATCCCAGACCCCGCACCTCCTCCATAGAAAAGTGCAGCCCTTGACCCCTTACTAAAATCTTGGAGTGGCCCCATCAAAAATTATTGCCCATCTCTGCTGTAGCCTCTCCTGGGTCATCATGAGACTGCTGCATGTGCTTCCTTGTGCCCTGCAGTGCCTACTCTCTCTTCATGGTCAGCTTCCTGCCTGGACTATGAGGTCAGGGAGGTTAGTTGCTTTGGTACAGTGGTGTTTGTGGGTTGGGTGCGGGGGGTAGCAGCGGGATATCAGGCCTATGATTTGCTTACTCTTGCAAGGCTACTAGTTGTGCAAGGCTTGCACTTTAAAAAAAAAGTTGTTAAAATTCACCTGTGGTCAGTGGGATTGGCTTGTTTTGGGTGGCTTGGTCTTGTTTTGAATGGCAGAGTAGTTTTATTATCTTGTGAGGCTTGGCAATGAATGCAGGCCACAATGCAGACATTTTACTGCTGTGTAGACATATCTTTAGTGGCTGATTTTTTCCCCTTGCGTCAGATTTATTTACACTTTGCAGAGTCAGTTGTAGGTGGGTATAAAATACTTTGCTGATGTGCGGTGGAGAATTTTGATGTGGTAGCATTTTACATCCACATTATATAGATTTGAATTATGACCCAAACAATGGAAAATCCCAAATCTGGTGAAAATGAAAATACAGGACTCAAAGAAGGGGAGAGCAGCAATATGGCTTTGTGTTTATCAGATCCATCACAGCTCTGGGGCTAACATCATAAAGCTGGTTCATTGCTGTTATGTCATCTGGGAATCAGCCCCAGCACAGCAGCTCTGTTCTCCAGCCATGCCTTAATTGAGCTGCAAGAGACCAATAGCACAGCATGTCACTCAAATCCTTAGCTACCCAGTGAAAACACTTCATGGCCTGTTTACACCTCTGGAGCAGTAGAAAGGGGCTGAAACAAAATGTGGGATCTGGTTAACAGCCTCTAGGTTTTGAGGGTTTTATCAATGAAGGCTTGGGTTCTGGGACACATATCTGCAAGGTTGGATTCTTCGGTATGTTCCGTGGATAAAAGGATTTGGAGAGTGCACAGAGCCCTGAGAATAGTTACAGTTGCAGATTATGAGATTGTGGAACAGTTGGGGAACCATAATTAAGACTGTGTTACCTTAGTTCAGTTTGATATAGCAACAGAATTAATGTAGTATGGTATAACTGTCACACGGTTTGTTAATGTACTGTATACTTTATAACACTATTGTTCCCAACAGTAAAATGAAATAATTTTTGGTTTAACTTGATTCTAGCAAATGAAGGTTCATAAAGCAGAAAACTGGCCCTAGTCCTGCAATCAGATCCATGTGGGAGGACTCTTGTGTTGGATGCTGAGCTCCGTTGAAGTCAGTGGGCATCATGAAGAGGAAAGGTTCTGCTTTGCAGGATTAGGGCCTGGACAACTGTCTTCTTGAAGTGGATGGAAGAAGTGTCTCAAAAGAGAGTCAATATTATTACGCTGAGACATATTTAAATGGATGTGCCACTGTTAATTAGGATCAATCCTCTAAAACAGAATAGAAAAAAAATCACAGTCCAGAGAATGGAGCCTGACAATTACTAACTCATGTCCTACCAGTGTAGACAGTCCAAGTTTTCTAACAAGTTTTAAAGACTTTTCTCCTGAATCCAAATGATGCCAGACATTTGCATATCTGATCTAGGTAAAACTTGCATTGACTTCAATGGAAGTTTTGCCTCACTGAGACTTTCAACAATTAGCTCTAAATTTGGGTTTAAATTTCTTCCTAACATAATTTTAACTTCCTCCTGCCCATGGGATAGGAAGGTGTTTAATAGTGGAAATTACAGTAGAATTAAAGATTATTATTATTTCATGGAATAGTGTAATCATAACAGCATTCATATTTTTGTAAGTTGAAAACGCTTATTTATGTTGTATATTATAGTACTTAAATTGCTTAATATGGGTATTTTCAAGTTGGAATTTTCATGTTATTTAGAACAGGAATACTATTCCTACCCATAATGGATCACTGTCAGCAGTACCTGTAAGAGTAAGTGTGAGGCAAATCTTTGTTTGTGAATGAATGCCCATACTCATTCCACATGAGGCCAAGCATGGAGTCCTACTGCCAAAAAAGCATGTTTCTACCACACCTATAAAGTTTTTTATCTGAATCTGGGGTGGGGGGTGGATCAATAACCCACCTCTTTTGAATCCTGCATGTCACATTGTTTTTGTGACATTGCAGTAAAACACAGGGCTCTTGTGCTCTGCTGTAAAAATTCTGTTTTTCCAATTACTGTAAATGCATATGAACTTTTTGAAAAAATTGTCCCTTATAGCTCTGGCTGTTTGGCTCTAATAGCTCCATGTGCAGACATATATGTGCCAGTTGCCTTACACGGGCATATAGAAGAAATTGTCTCTGAATTTCTTGAATAACCTACTGTAATGCTGCATCAGAATTCATTAAGCAGAGAAGAAAGAACTGAAAATATTTTGTTAATGATAGGTCAGAATAAAATTATCTACCTGACTCCATTTTCCTGATGCATCACATGGAGGTCCAGAAGCCACATTAGAGCACTGTAATCCTTCATCAGAGTGTGTGTTTGGTTGCCTAACATCTGTGGATTGTTAAGATAAGTTATTACACAGACCTGCTTTAGTTTAGATTGGCTTGGAACACATCCCAGAATATTCAATCAGGATATAATTCCTGCATGCTGCTAGACTGCTTGCTCCACATACTTCTCTAAAAATGTTTTTCAATAAACAGCTTTCTTACTGAAACTGTTATGTCACTGCATTTTTTTTCCTTCTTAAAGAAAAGCTTTTTGTCATTTTTCCCTTTGGACTGAATATAGCTCAAGGCAAACATAGCATTTAATAGCTAAGTCCTGAAGAGAATCCTAAACAGAGATGTAGTGTAGCTTCTATGTGAGTATAATGCAGATTTCTTACATATATAATCTGTGCTTGGTGTGTATGTTATGTCCAAGCTGTAGAGCTGAAAAGACTGCTGTGGGGATATGTTCTATTGTAATTTCACATATAGTGAAAAGCTCCCTTTCTTCCTTTTGTATCCTGTATTTTCTATTGTCTGCATCTGCCTTAAATACTCCCAGTTGTTTAGGTTGAATAACTTTGTCCATAACAAATATTCACAATAAGAAAACAAAAGGAGATTGGGTAAGTTTGTTAGTATATTCACAGGTAAAAGTTTATTGCGTATTTTTGATCTTATAGGTATACTTAGGATATATATAGATATAGATAAAATTATAAATGGAATGATACTGTTGACAGTTACCAGCTTCTCATTTTAAAATGTCAGTATGTATATGTTTGATAATTTGATTAAAATTTCCATCTTATTTTAATTATTTACAAAATAACTTAGTTATATCTGTAACAAAGGAACGTTCAGAACTTGAAAGAATTTTTTTTAAATATTGTAGTTTATTTTACAAATTGCCAGTTTTTGTCTGAAGGTAGCATATAAACTAGTACTAGATTTAAAGAAACTCCAGTTTTTGTCAGATAATACACAACAGCTTTTTTAAACTTTTTTGTTTGTGAGCTATTGATTTAATAGCTTTTGGCTAATGACTACATGCCAGAGAACAAGAGTTTGTATACACACTTAAAAATGTTTCTTCCCTGCTAGTCTAGTCTATATTTTAAACTTATATTTGACCACATGAATATTCAGTTTCTCCATTCTATTTCAAAATCAAAATATTTCAGTTGAAGAAAATGAGACATAATATCAAGGGCAGGTTTTTAAAAGGTCTAGCATTTGTTTTAAGGGACAAGTTGTCATATCTATTATCTATTGAAGATTGTTTCCATTTTTAAGACAGTATATTTTTTTCCATTGCTGAAATAAATGGAACTTTTTATTAGATCTGTTTTTAAGTAATTAAAAACATTTTAATACCTTCCTTGAAAGGGAAAACTAGCCTATTGCTGATGTTGGATAAAGACATATTATAAATGTGGCTGTGGATAAAAAAGAGTTTGATTTTTTTTTTCCTGACAGCTTAAAGTCTGTTGGTGTAGAACTCACATACTATTGTAAATTCTGATGTATTCTTTATAATCTAAAGGGATAAAGTATCATAGAATCCTTTAAACAAATTATTTTTCTTTGTGCTACATGAAATGAATTTGTTGCTGGTATTCAAAGAACTTTTCCTCAGTTCTTTGTACTGTCACAGCCAAAACTCTGTTCCATTCCAAAAGATTTCCTGAAAAATTATTAGGTTTTTTTTTTTCAAATTCTTTTTGTTCAATATTTTGTTGTGTATCTGTACTTTTATCCACAGACAATATTTTAAAATATTTTCACTTTCTCTTGTCTTTTCTATTGTATTTCACAACTTCATTTATGCTTAACTTCTAGTTGTTTTTAAACTTGAATAACTTTTCTTTTTGCTTATATAATTAATTTCCATATTTTTACACTTTTTTCTATTTTTGAATAAACTTTCTATCTTCCCTATTATCCCCCTTTCCATCTCATTCTTCTTTATTGTCTTGTTTTTAATTTGCATTCACTTTACCCATTCAGCTCTCATTTTTCTCTTACCATCTTTTTTACCGTGTCAGCTGTCCCACATTCCCTCTAAGGCCCCTTGGCTTAGAGACTGGCCTTACTGTGTGTGCTGTTGTCTTCCAGTGTTAGCTGGAGGGGAAAAATAACCTATGTATTTACACAGTGTAATGGTGATAAGCAGGGACTGGAGCACTTGGCCTTTTTTTTTTTCAGATGTAACTGAGAAATCTAACATATGGTCATTTCTCAGTGGCACAGATGGTTGATCTTTTATCTTTATCCAATAAGGAGTATTTTCTGGTTTCTTAAAATACTATATACAAATTTTCATTTCATTATTGTATTTAGTTACATATCAGTATATTTCTCTAAGCCTGGAGTTTACAACATTGGTAAGTAGTTGTGTTTCGTGTAATTGAAAGTATTCACAGTACATGTTTAATTCATTTTGAAAAGCTGCCTGAGATTTGGTGGTGTTATGCAGGAAGAAAATGTGAAGGAAAAATACTGAAACAATGTCTATTTTCTCTAATAATTCATAGTAGTGATTGAAAGGGAGAAGTTAACTGGCTGGAGTTTTATAATCCCAAGTTCCAGTTCATTTCAGGTCACCTCACCAGTGAACATGAGTTTGATAATCCCATTCTAATGTTTGCCCATACTAAACGATCAACTAAACAGCAACAATCCACATAACCTGTCCACACCGTTTTGTTAGACATTACTCAAAAGAGGCCCAATGTTCACAAAACAGGTTAAGATTGAAATATATTAACAGAATATTGGGAAGCTTGCACAGTACCTGCCTGCAGTATGCTTGACCCTAATTAGAAGAGTAATTTGCACTTTCCTGAGCACATTATGAGCACTGCCATGAGCACAAACTTCATCCAGTTTAAAAATTTACTATGTCTGAACACATAAAACAAGCAAATATATTAGAGTTTTGAGGATACTTATACAGATCTTCTTATCTTCAACTAGGTTATGTGGGTGTGCAATTTATGTCGAAAGCAACAAGAAATCCTAACAAAGTCTGGAGCATGGTTTTTTGGAAGTGGTCCACAGCCGCCAAGCAGTCAGGATGGAGCACTGAGTGATACAGCTACTGGTGGAAGTTCTGATGCACCTAGAGAAAAGAAAGCAAGGCTTCAAGAGCGTTCCAGATCTCAAACTCCCTTAAGTACAGCAGCTGCCTCAGCACAGGAAATTTCTTCTTCCAGTGTGCAGTCTGACAGGAGGAAAGGCACAGAACTATCACAACAAGCTATGGGCCTGGAACAAAAGCAAGCTTCATCAAGGTCTAGAAGTGAACCCCCCAGAGAGAGGTAATATTTCCTAGTTCCTCTTTACACATCCGAAGCATCTGAACTGCTATTTTAAGTAGTGGTACACAACTAGGTATTTTGGGGAGCTTATATCTTTCTGTCATTTGCTTTACATTTTCAAGATCAATGGACAATTGTTTATTGATCAGGGAAGTGCAGTAATTCACTAAGAAAAACACTGTGGATTTGCTGAGAACTCTATGCAAGTGTTTAAAAAATAGCAAGAAAGTTGCACTTTTGACTTAAAAGGAATTAATATCCTGTTTGCAAAATGAAACTACTGATTGCAAGGGTTTGCTTTGTGCTCACAGAGGGTTCTAAAGTCATTTTATAATTAAAAGGATGCCTTCAAGATTGTTATACTAAAAACTGACATGACTCAGACTGTTTTCTTTATAATTAGTAAATCAGACACTGGTGAAGAATTTAAAAAGGAAAAGACTAGGGAGTCTATCTGATGTGCTTACACTTGCAATATGTTTTAAGGGCATGTCTAGACTTGCTTGCACTTTCAAAAGAAGATATGAAAATTCAGTGCGAATTTGCATATCTTCTTCTGATCACTTTTTTGAAAGAGTTGTTTTTTCGAAAAAGCTAGCAGTTTAGATGCAGCTCTTTCATAAAAACCCCCCTTTTCAAAAGAACCCTTCTTCCTCAAAAAATGAGGTTTACAGCGTTCTTTCGAAAAAGGTTTTTTTTCGAAAGAACTGCATCTAGACTGCTTGCTTTTTCAAAAAAAGCACTTCCGAAAAAGCGATCAGAAGAAGATATGCAAATTCATGCCAAATTTGCATATATTCTTTCAAAACTGAAAACAAGTCTAGACGTACCCTTATAGTGGCATTGGCTATGTCAGAAGACAGGATACGGGGCTAGATGAACCTTAGGTCTGACCTAGTATGTCCATTCTTATGTTCTTATAGTCTATCTTAAAAATAGGGTGTTTACAACTGCAACATAAACAAACGTTCTTAGAATAATTATAGTTTATTTACATGTGAGAATAAGACCATCTATAAGCAACTTTAGGAATTTAACATATTGGCTGCGATGATTTAGTTGAGATTGGTCCTGCTTTGGGAAGGGGGTTGGACTCGATGACTTCTTGAGATCTCTTCCATCCTCATCGTTCTATTCTTCTAAATTAATGATGATGGTATTCTTTGGCAAGATGTGTACTGTCATGAATCTGTGGAATCTGAATCTGTGGAATCTGCTGTTATTCTTTTGGAAGCTGACTGGAAAGTGATAGGGCGGGGGGATGCTTGCAGGAACTGCAATGAAAGCACCTTTCCCTGGTGGCTGCTCAGGGGTGGGTTGTTAAGCTGCCAATAGTCCTGTATTACAAGGCACATCCCTTATCTTTTCAAAATCAGAGGACGTGGGATGCTAGACATAGCTCCAAGCTAGGGCTTAGGGGTTCAGTGTGCAAGAGGGGGCTCCAAGCTGGGGAAAGAGGGCTGGGGTGCAAGAGCACGCTTGAGTGCAGGTTCTGGGAGTGTTTAGGTGCGGGCTGGGGCAGGGACTGTGGAAGAGGGTGGGAGCATCACTCACTTTGGGACATGTTCCCTGCCTCCTCGGTGGTTCCCTGACAAGGGAAGCTGTGGAGTCAGCGCTCAGGGCTGGTATTTCAGTCAAAAACTGGATACCTGGCAAACTTAATGAGGCCCTGTGTTTTCAGCAGCATCTAGAACTGGAGAAAGAGAATCCCTATGAAGCCAGGGGTTGGGGAAAATGACTTGTCCCGAATCGAAGCTGTAGGGGCATGTGAGATCTGTCTTGTATCTTTTAAATACAGTGTTAGCAATCCTTCCTCACTGTAACCAAGATGAGGCATCTGAGAGTTGCCTGCATATAGATGGGTCTACCTAGTTTAAAAGTAAGGCCACTCACTAATAAGTACATGTGTGTAATAGACAACATTCTATCTTACATTGTAACATCACTTTCTCTCCAACAATGAACTGCAATCTGCTTTATGGCATTGAAATCAACCCTCTCTCAGTTGAGAGGCAATAATACAGTAGCAAACTACTATATGTTCCCTTTCTATTTTGCTCACTTTGGAGACAGTTCTGTTTCTGGCCAGAGGTAAGGTTGTTATATTAGTTGCACAGTTAAAATCACACATTTTCCCATTTATTATGTTTTCAATACCCTTCTAAAATGTCTTATTTCCCAGGAATATTACACTGAAATGCTAGACTATACTAATTCTTCTACGACTTCTAGACTTTGTAGAAGTACTTATAGCAGTTTTTATGAGACCTAATTTATGAAAAAACAACAAATGGTCTGGTAGCACTTTATAGATGAATGAAACATGTAGATGGTATCATGAGCTTTCGTGGTCACAACCCACTTCTTCAGATGACCGGAGTTATGAGTTGGGGGTATGAAAACTCAAAATAAATAGGAGAGGGGAGAGAGCTTCTTGCTTCCAGTTTCCATCCCAGACATATTTTTCAGTTGATTGTATACAGCCAAGCCCTACGATACAACCGGATTTGCTCCGACCCCACAGACAGAGACGATCACCTACAGGATCTTTACAGAGCATTCCTAAAACTAGAATACTCACCTGGGGAAGTGAAAAAACAAATTGACAGAGCCAAAAAAACACCCAGACATGAACTACTTCAAGACAGACTCAAAAGAGAAAATAACAGAACTCCTCTTGTTACTTACAGTCCACAACTCAGAACCCTCCAACGCATTACACACAGTCTACAGCCCATCTTGGAAAATGATCCCTCATTCTCAGAGACCTTAGGAGAAAAACCTATTCTTGCTTACAGACAACCACCTAACCTGAAACGTATTCTTTCTGATAATCATGCCACACAACCACATCATAAGCCTCCAGGAATGCAGCCCTGCAACCAGAAAAGATGCCAACTCTGCCCACATATCTATACTGGCAAATTCATTTCTGGAGCAAACAGATAAGCCACAAAATCAAAGGGTCATTTGACTGTACATCCAGTAATTTGATCTATGCCAGCAGTGCCCACTGCTATATATATTGGACAAACTGGACGGTCTCTGCGGGAAAGAATCAATGGGCACAAATCGGATATACGTAAAGGGAATATACAGAAGCCTGTTGGTGAGCATTTCAGCCTGCCTAACCACAGTCTGACAGACCTTCAAGTAGATGTCTTATCAGAAACCAGCTCTACAAGCCAAATACACAGAGAAGCCCTGGAATCCGAGTTCATCCACAAATTCAATTCACATGCTAATGGACTCAATCGTGATATGGGCTGGTGGGGACTCTTCCTACTAAATAACCACTGAAGGTGCTAACAGCTCCCTGAGTAGAATCCTTCCTGTTTTAGGAATCTATCTATTTACTTTGATTTTTATCTGCTTAGGTTTAAGTACCTATTCTCCAGACACTTTATGATGCTCTGTCTCCCACTCCCCTCCCTTTTTTCTTTCTCTCCCCTCTCCTATTTATTTCGAGTTTTCATATCCCCATCTCATAACTCCGGTCATCTAAAGAAGTGGGCTGTGCCCACGAAAGCTCATGATACCAACTACATGTTTCATTAGTCTATAAAGTGCTATCAGACCATTTGTTGTTTTTTCTGTAACAGACTATCTCGGCTACCCCCTGAAGCTCCTAATTTATGAAAGAATTCTTGCAATTTGCGTATGTATCAAAACACGTTTGGTGTGATCTCTATGTGAAATTGCAAAATCATAAGATCAATTGTATTGGTATAATTGACACCTTTGGGTATGTATGTCTATACAGCAGTGTTATTTTGGAATAACTGATGTTATTCCAAAATAACAAAATGTGCATCTACACTGCAAGCCTTTATTTTGAAATAATGTAATGCTGGAGGACTTCCTAGTCCTATTCATGGATATCTTCATTTTGCAAGGAATAAGGGAAGTTGAAGGAAGAGTGTTCTTCCATTGACTTCCTGCTTTGTAGACAGCACGAAAAACTGAGTTAAGCTATTTTGACTTCAGCTATGCAATTGACGTAGCTGAAGTTTTGAGCTTAGACATACCCTTTGATTCTGTCTCCTACTCTTTACCCCATTCCCCTGTTTTCATGGGGGCTACTTTTGACATTCCAAAACTGAGTAGCTTCAGGGAGGTGCCAAATAAACAAATAAAATAAATCATACCAGAGTAATGTTTATTTTCCTCTCTCTTGGAACATCTGCATGACTAGACTTGTGATACTGGGCAAGCCTGGCTTTGTACATTGAGGGATATGGAGAATAATGCCACTATAGTTATTAAAACCTAAATTTTTTTAAATAATTTTGTGATGAAATATAGCATATACAGAGTGCAAAGTGTATTGTGATAGAAATGTTTTATTGGGACACAACTGGAATGTCCCACATTATATTCATAGTTTCACAGGAAGAAAATAAATAATGTAACAGTTTGAAATATATGTTACCAACATCTATACACATCATATCTTGCAAACAGCAGAGAGCCTATGAGAATGGGACATACACAGACTTTGGAATCTTTCACCAAATGACTGCAATTAGTGAACAGTAGGAGTTATCTAGGCTGCGATTTAAGGTGTAACTTAATAATATTTATGATCTGAACCCCACTGAACTGTGTCACTATTTGTCAAAAGCACTGACAGTAAATAATAGCAAACCCTTTTACTAGGATGGGCTGCTTTAGGTCCAGAGGCAGATATGGAGTTTGTGGGTTCTTGGATCCCTTCCCATCCCTTCTTCCTGTAGGTCCTGTGGTTGGGAGCTGGGTAGGAGTGCCATATTCCCCACCTGGTGCTCCTGCTGGGGAGTGGCATTGGGGCATGGAAGCTGCCCCTGATTCCTGGCAGGAACACTAGGCAGAGCAGGGAAAGCTCCCTCACATTGATTCCAATGCCCTTCAGAAGCACTGGGTGAGTGGAACATGTCAATGTGCGGGGGTCCCCAGTTGTCTGGGGCCCCAGGACATGGGCCCCTTTGGCCCAGTGGCTAATCTACCACTGCATAGATCAGTGTGCACAGTCAGCTCTGCTATGACAATTCCTATAACAACAACACCTTCTCTAGATGTAGCTGTTATTAAACCATCTATCTATTGCATTGTTATAAAATATATGTATTGAAAATATTCCTGTTAAAATAACTATTTATTGCTACTTGGCTGCCCTGATTTTACCGATCATCTCTGAAATGCTAGGCTCAGAGTTAGCAACCTTTGCAAGTATATTGAATTTGATGTTCTCAGCGAAGGTCTCAGGGCAGTACATAGCTCAAGACATGGCTGCTTGTAATGCTTCATGCTATAGTTTTGAGTGGTTACTGAAGATATGGAAAATCTGAGAATCCAAAGTATAGTTAATATAATTGTAACAGCAGGTCACTGTATTTCAGACTGTTTGCTGTTCAGTAGCACGGCACACCTCTTAGCACTAGAACCCCACTCCTCATGAGCCCTTTTTGTGACTTTACAACATCTAAGTTAAGACATTGCATATGTTTGCTACTCTTCTCCTAGGGTAGAGGTATGTGTGTCTGTTGGGATAGAGAGTCAACACCTATCAATAATTACATTTGAATTACAGTTGTGGTTAGACAGTCTACTCTGTAGCTAACTAAAGAGAATGCTCAGATAGATAAACCTCATTCAAATGTCGACATAGCTATGGGGAGTTCCACTATAATGGAGTTGTAGGAAATCCTGTATTACAAAATGTAGAGGTTTGTTATGGTGAAAAAGGGTGTCTCAGGTATAACAAAGTACGGTAGACTTCCAATAATCTGGCACCTTTTAGACCTAAGTGGTGCCGGATTATCAGATTTGCCGGAGAATCGGGAGGTCCGGAACAGCTGCACGGCTTAACAGCTGGCCAGGACACAATCTCTCTCCCTCTCCTCTCCCCTTTCCCCTTCGCTGAAACAAAATGCTCTTTTCCATACTGTAACACGATCCCACTCCCCCTCCCCCCAACCTTATGCTCAATCTGGTTACAGCCAGCACGTGTGCTAAGCAGCAGGCTTTTTAATCAGCTGGTCAGGAGCGCTCGGCATTTTGATGCCAGGGTATCAGGATGCCGGACTATCAGAGTTTTACTGTATAAGCTATTAATGAAAACCTGGTTTACTGTTAGCAGCATTAATAGTTAATTCTGACAGGCTTATTATTGATGTAACAAGGAAGATTTAAAGAGGGATTGTGGGGCCATATCTTGCCCTGCTCTGGACTAGGCCATTCCTTTGTTATTGTGACCACCTGTTTAATCTAACTTCTGATATATCACCAGGGGAACTCACAGCCTCATTGGGCCCCTGGGCAAGGTGTGTGTGAGGGGTGGCTCCACGCTCCCAAAAGGGTCTGGGCCTCGGGCAGAAAGGGCAGAGACATGGCACTTCAGTGGCAATTTAAAGGCCCAGGGCTCCAGGTGCTACTGCTGCTGCAGTAGCTGGGAGCCTCAGGCCAGCTGCTTTGAATTGGTGGAAATTTGGGTCAGTTGCCCCATCAGCCCCACCTGTTGGCCTATCAGCATGCCCCTTGTTCCTTTTCTTTCTGGTTTCATTCTCCACCTCTCTACTGGTCACAACCTGGCCTCAGTTCTTGTTACATTGGTACCCTTTTGTTACTTTTTGTTTGAACTAATCCAGCTCTTCAGATTCCTTTTTGTACCAGTTGCTACCAGCATGAATTGTTATACATGATTGTGAGGTTTTTATGAATTTCATCCACTTTTTACCAGCTGAGCACACAACTGGAGTAGGCTAACCAGATCCAAATTATTACAGCAGGTCTGCCTTTACATTCTTTAGACATTGAGCTTGGAGTTGACTGCAGTTCTGTTGTGTACCTCAGATATCTTTGCTTCCAAGAAGGCTTGTGTGGTGTAGTTTTTATATTTTTTGGAAGACTCAACAGCCGTAGATATTATTTCAATACACATGCATAGATAGACAGCAGCATCAGTTGGATAGAGCTAGGGTGTGAAAATGCTCCAGGACCCAGTGAGCAGCTGCTCACCGCGGCTTCCTGCCCCACTGAGCTACCACAGCTCCCAGTCCCATTGGGCAGCCACATGCTGGGTCTTCCAATCCTGCTCCCACTGCCCTGCTGGCCCCACAGGGATACTTGCTGCTGCCCCTCCACTAGGTCTTTCTGGTCCTGCAACATCTGTGTTGGACCATGGATGTTGCCAGACCAGAGAATCCCGGTTAAGAGAGTTTCAACTTGTGCATTACAAATCATTCCAGTCAAGGTTCTCTTCAAGCATGTGTATCTTGTAACTAGTTCTTTCCTCTTCTTGAGATGGTGGTCCCAGGAAAGATTCATAGGGTATTCACAAAGACTTTTTAGACACAGGCTTTCTGTAATGTTTTCCAAAGTGTGCATCCTGGATTTAGTTACAGCATAATAAAAATGATGAATCCATTATGATTGTGTTTAAAGATTGGGAGATCTGAAAAGAAATATGTTTGAATCAGCAATCCAAGTCCGGTTTGCCAATTGAAGAAAGGCTAGGATTGAAAGATCCTGAACTAAAAAAGCATCATTTTCAGGCAACTTCATTTTGTACATTGTGACTATATGAAGTACATTAATGCATTCAGATTTGTTTTACTTTTCTTTTACAAAAAATGGATATTCCACAAAGCCAAATATCTTTTTTTGATTTTCTTATTCTTTAGATTTATGTGGAATTGGTACTTGTTTTCTTTAGGGTTAAGTAAAATAAAACTAGATAGATCTAATATTGTGTCTGGGTAGATTCACCTTACATCACTACATATATGAAAGATCTCCCATTTCATAGTGTTTTGATGTGCATGAAATGGGATGTGAATAAGTTTTCATGCCAGATGACCCCCCACAAATGTTGACTTTAAAAAAAGGAAAGTATGACATCACTCATTGTCTTGCTGCAATTCCAGCAATGATACTTTTTTTAAAAAAATTTGTAAACAATTGCTTTGCTTGTTCATTCATGTTATGTTAACACATAATATTCTGTATGTGTTTATACATCACTTATAGGTTATAGAATGTAAAACTTTATAGTTTTCACTCTAGCAATAATTCCCTATTGGAAAGAGAAGGAAATAACGTTGAAAATATAAGTTGTTAGTAGGCGAAATACCATTTTTTTGTTAGATTTTTTCACACTGTTTACTTGTTTCAATGGTAGGAAGAAGACAGCATTGATATCAGAACAGAATGGAAAAGGAGGTCTAAAGAGTGAGCGTAAACGTGTGCCAAAGTCTTCACTTCAACATGGACAAACAGATGACAGGGAACGTAAAGAAAGGCATGAAAGTAGAAGACTGGAGAAAGGCAAGTCACAGGACTACCCAGATTTGCCAGAAAAACCTGAGGAAGGCAAGGTAGCTGATGAGGAAAAACAAAGGAAAGAAGATGAGTATCACACTCGGTATAGGAGTGACCCAAATCTAGCAAGATATCCTGTAAAGCCCCATCCTGAGGAACAACAGATGCGTATGCATGCAAAAGTTTCTAAAGCACGGCATGAAAGGAGACATAGTGATGTGGCTTTGGCACATACAGAAGTGGAAGAAGCAGATGTACCTGAAAACAAATTAGGAAAACGCTCACAGTTACAGGGAACTCAGGACAGAAAATCTCTTATGGAAACTCAGAGATCATACTCTATAGAAAGAACAGGTGATGTAAGAATTTCCGTTTCCAAACAATTAGCTAATCATAGTCCACCAACTCCCAGACGCAGTCCTGTTCCCACAGAACACCTAGAACCCAAGAACCATGATTCCTTTAAAAAACAGAGTCGCCTCGATCCAGGCTCTGCTATTCTCATGCGAAAAGCAAAGCGGGAGAAAATGGAGACCATGCTAAGGAATGATTCCCTTAGTTCTGACCAGTCAGAATCAGTGCGTCCATCCCCTCCAAAACCTCATAGATCAAAGAGAGGTGGAAAGAAAAGACAGATGTCAGTCAGTAGCTCAGAAGAAGAAGGGGCATCCACACCAGAATATACTAGCTGTGAAGATGTGGAAATAGAAAGTGAAAGCGTTAGTGAAAAAGGTAAGAGCTTTATATGTATTATACATGAATGTGCAGATTTGGGGCCCTAGGCCCCGCACTTGCAGAAGCCCCGCAGCGCATGCGCTGTGTCAAAGGGGGGGGCCCCGCGAAATTGTGCTGCGCGGGGCCCCACGGCGCTGCCCGGGGCCCCGCGGTGCTCTGATCCGCCCCTGATGTGCATGAAAAAATTGACACACATTTTACTATCGTCTTCATCTTTCTCTTGTTTCCCCTTTACTTTTTTCCCCATAGTATTTTCATGAGGGAGAGGTTAAATATATCTATTGAATTGGGTGTATAACTTTTTTCTTTTGTATTCTGAGTTGAGATAGTTAACATCAGTTATTGAATTTTCTCTCTCAGCCCTCTCCTCTTTCATGTAACTATTCTGAGTTGAGGGCTTTGGAGTTTATATGTTTCTCTTCCCTTTTATTTTACTATTTCATCTTCTTTTTCAAAATGTGAAATGCATTTTAATGAATGGAATGAACTGCATGAAAAATGTGTTCCACAAACATTCAGAGTTCCTTATACAGTAAACTTCCGATAATCCGGCACCTTCAGGACCCAGGGGGTGTGGGATTATCTGATATGCCGGACTATGGGAAGGCGGGGGGTGGGGGTGGATGCCACCCCAGACTCCTTATAGCCCCTCCTTCCGATAGTCCGGCTCTGCCCCAGGCGTCCCTGATTCAGCCACTGCTAAAACTGACCAGTGGCTGACTCCAGGAAGCCCGAGGCAGAGCTGCTCTGCCCCAGGTGTCCCCAAGTCAGCAGCTGCTGATACTGACAAGAGGCTGACTCCAGGAAGCCCGAGGCAGAGCTGCTCTGCCCCAGGTGTCCCCAAGTCAGCAGCTGCTGATACTGACAAGAGGCTGACTCCAGGAAGCCCGAGGCAGAGCTGCTCTGCCCCAGGTTTCCTGTAGTCAGCCGCTGGTCAGTTTCAGCAGCAGCTGAATCAGGACGCCTGGGGCAGAGCAGCTGGGACGCTGCCGGGTTGGTCCCCGCAGCACCGCACCTCGGGGCTGCAGGATCAACCCGGCAACACCCCAGCTGCTCTGTCCCAGGTGTACCCAAGTCAGCTGCTGCTGAAACTGACCAGCAGCTGATTCTTGGAAGCCAGGAAGCTGGGGCAAAGCAGCTCTGCCTCAGGCTTCCTGGAGTCAGCCACTGGTCAGTTTTAGCAGTGGCTGAATCGGGGAAGCCGGGGGAAGAGCAGCTCCAATGGTCCGGCTGCCCGGAGCACTTCCGGGTTCCTGATGGTGCCGGACCATCAGGAGTGCCTGACCATCAGATGTCGGACCATCGGAGTTTTACTGTAATAAAATGTCAGATCATCACAAAGCATCATGGTTAATCTCAAAATAAGAAAAAAATATCAAGAATCTACCATAATACATGGTTGAACATGAGAAAATATAATGTGAAAATATTTACATGTGAGGAAATTATTGTGTGTGTGTGGTGGGGGTGGGGGGGGGGGTGTGGGA